GAGGGGCGGGGCGGGGCGGAGGCTCGTAGGGAAGTTGCAGCAAGGCAAGTTGCAGCCATGTAAGTAAGCGGAGCGGGGAGGTGGGAGGGGCCGTTCCACCGACGCAGCCTTCCCCTAAGAACCTCCAAGGAGGCAAAAGGAGGTACCCCCGTGCGCTCCCCCGTGGCCCCTGAATAGCTTGCACTGGAGACCGCACTCATCTCTTGGGAAACAAGCTCTGTTTTCACTGCAACAAACGAAGACCTGGGAGAGCACTAGAGGGGCGAGGTGGCAGAGGAGGGGCGGGCGCAGCGGGCTCCAGGCGTCCCTCCAGGCTGCAGTTCCGGCGGACACTCGGGGACTCCTGAGCACCCCTGGGGACGCCGCCCAGGTAGCGGAGGAGGGGTGGGGAAGCTGCCCCCCCCCGATTCGTCACCCCCATCGCCCGAGGGCCGGCTGGGCCATGTCCAGAAGCTCGGGCTCCGAGGTCCTGCCCCGCGCCCTGGGGTCCCGGAAGGCCGCCCCTCGGAGCCTTAGCTGCCTCTCAGACCTGGACTGCAGCGCGGCCTCCGAGCTGCGGCCTGGCCGACCCCTCAGGAGCCCGGCTCGCGCGCCGCCGTCCGCACCGTCAGGCTGTGACCCCAGCCTGCGACCCATCATCGTGAGGCGGGCGCACTCGCTGCCCAGCTCGCCAGAGCGCCGCCAGAAGGCCACCGGCGGCCCGGGCGCTGCGTGCCGACCGGGCTGCAGCCGGCAGCACCGAGTGCGCTTCGCTGACGCACTGGGACTGGAGCTTACGCAGGTCAAGGTGTTCAACGCGGGCGACGACCCTTCGATTCCACTGCACGTGCTGTCGCGGCTCTCCATCAGCTCGGACCTGTGCTGCAGCCGCCAGGACCTGGAGTTCACCCTGCGGTGTCTGGTGCCTGACTTTCTGCCCCCCATCGAGGCCACCGACTTCCGAGAGCGCCTGGGGCGGCAGCTTGTGTGCCTGGAGCGCGTCACCTGCTCCGACCTGGGCATCAGCGGCACGGTGCGCGTGCGCAACGTGGCCTTCGAGAAGCAGGTGGTCGTTCGCTACACCTTTTCCGACTGGCGCACCGCGCAGGAGGCCGTGGCCAGGTGGCGCGGACCCGCGGGCTCCGAGGGCACCGAGGATGTCTTTGCGTTTGGCTTCCCAGTGCCGCCCTTCCTGCTGGCGCTCGGCTCCCGCGTGCACTTCGCGGTGCGCTACCGCGTGGCCGGTACCGAGTACTGGGACAACAACGACGGCCTCGACTACAGCCTCACCTGCCGCAGCCACGAGCTGCACATGCCCCGCGGGGAGTGCGAAGAGAGCTGGATCCACTTCATCTGAGCCTCGGAGCTGGGGGCCTGGGGCCTGGCGCGTCGGCACCGAACCCGCTGCACCTGCGGCCTTCCTAGCTGGGCGCTCACAGGCGGTGGTTGCTCTTCCCCTCTCTATCCCCAAACCTAAATCTGCCCCCACGTCCTGCTGCAAGGTCCCCTGGCAGTGGCCACCCTGTCATCTACTTGAAACATCTGTGTCACTTGGTGTAAAAGCAGCCTCAGGTGGCCAGAATGCCGAGTGTGTAGCCTGCTGGGGTGGTGCCGGGTGGGTCGCTGCGCGGGGCTCTGACTGGGTCCTTGGCAAAGGCCGGCATCCTGCTAGGCAGCCTGACGCTTTTGCATGTGCCGCGCTTGGGTCTCTGTAAACATAGGTGTTATTTGTTATTGTGATGCTGGGACCTTTTACCCCTGGTGGATTCCTTCTCAGGAACATTCTGAATTTAACAAGCTAAAAAAAAAAAAAAAAAAATTATTTTGTGTATTTTGCCCCAGTGTGACCCCATCATGGTCCATTGAGGCATTTCTGCCCTGGGGCAAGGAAAACCTGAGACCGCGTGTGCTTGCCAATGTCTGGACTTCTCACCGTGCGGAGCTATTAATAGGCAAGAAATGTATGCCTCCTCAGTCATCACAACCATTCCTGGGAGTTCAGGCTGCCCTGGGTGAGCTGAGAGGGGAAAAAGGCTAAGACTAAGCTAGGAAAGCAGCCCCTTCCCTGCAGCCTCTCTCCTCACTTCCTTCTCTTGTGCCTGCTTGATGATTATGTATCTGCATGTTATCAGGCAACTCAGTTTAGGTTTGAAACTACAGAAACATGGTAAGAAACTCTGCCTTAAGTTATTAAAATTTTCAGGCAACTATAGAATTTCAGGTAGCAATGCCCTTTTCAGTTACATTTTTGATGATCAAGGTGACTTTTATGTCTTCTTAAGCGTGAGAGCATTCTAGCCGTCGTAGTTCAGAAGTCAAGATGCCAAGAGGAATTAAGAAGTGTTTTCAGCAATAGCAAGAACACTGGAGGAAAAATACTTCACAAATATTTATACTTTTTAATGTTTTAAATTGTATTTATATATGCCCGGTTTTTGTTTTAAATTATATTTATATATGCCTGGTTTTATTAGCTATCTTCCAACTTTATTCTTTGTGCCTTCAGATCAGAGAGTTTCTAACATTGTCTGGACTTGTTTCCCACTTTTAAAATGTTAAATGTTTTTCTTTTTAAAAAATCTCCAATCAAGAAGTCAAGGCCTTTGTCCCCTGCAGAGTGCCACAGTGACTTAAAACTCGCAGCGAGGGGCTGATGATTTCTTCTGGTGCTGAGTGATGGTTTTTCTGACAGCAGGTGCTAGCTCTGAAGTGTGAAAGCCCAGCCTGGATGGACAAGTCCTCCAACTTGTGAAGTGTAATTATGATACTGTTGCAACCTGTGTGGTCAACTTTGTGACAGCTGTCATCAATGAATTAACTCTGAATTTGTAAATACTTGTTGACATTTGTTAAATCAATATGTAAAGGGTGAGTTTTGCCTTTTAACCAGTTTACTTTTTACAATGGCAACTTTTGTGTTTTTAAAATTCCAAGAAGAAAGAGGCTTTCTGATCTAGAGGGAGTACCTTCTAACTTAAGAACACTGAATTCTGATTTAAAATATTGTGATTAAATTGAACAACCTTTCGTTCTTAAGACTGTTCACTACATTAACATGCAAGAGAGAGAGAAGCCTGGTTGCATTTCCTGTTGTTTAACAAACTGTCCAATTAGGTCAGCAAGACTGTGAGGTCCCTGGCTGCTTTGCCCTTGGCCTCGATCCAGAGTGAAAGACAATTATCTAGAGTATTCACATAGGAAGGATAGACTGCCAAATATATTGTTGTATAAAGGCATGTAGAGAATCTTATAATCCATATCAGAGTCATTTGCCAAAAAGGCTCTGGTCATGGAATATAAATACTATATCTTCAGTATTAAAAAACCTCAGCGTGCCTTTTAATAACTTAAATATACTTGCTAGTTGATAAAGTTCAGCTTAAGGAGAACTCTTCAGACCCTAAAACAGTTATTATATTGCTTAGATGTTAACATTTTGTAATGGGTTGTGCAATCATAGAGTTGTCTCCCAAACATACTTTAATGTCTGTTATTTAAGACAATTTCGCCCAGGCCTAAAATTAAATTGTATGTGCACAAATTGTTAGCTGGAATGTGTTTTTCTTGTGGTGTCATTATAGAAACAAGGTGTTAGAAACTTCGTGATTGTTTAAGTCATTTCACAGTTAAGTCTTATTCTTCCCAAAACAGTCAAATTTAGTGTCTTGCTAAAAAAAAAAAAAGTATGCTGGTACCTCAGTTTCAGTAGCATGTCTTTGAGAAACTGAAATACAACACTGTGTGCCAGCTCCCATGAAGAAATTTCTAGAGAAATGTAGGAGATGGGATAGTGCTGTAACTTCTCTTGTGTGTCTGCCTCCCTCCGGATGTGACTCAAATATAAAGCCTTGCACATAAGGGGAAGGAAACTAACATTTATTGCGTCCTCTCTTATTTGCTTGCCCACAGTGTTAGGTACTGTATTTGATTTCATTTAATTCTGAAAATTACACTACCTGATAGATAATATCTCCATTTTTTAAATTTTCATTTATTTATTTTTTAGCTGAAGAGAGTGGAACTCAGAGAGGTTTAACTAATTCACCTAAAGTCCCACAGCTGGTAAATAGCAGTTATCATTGAAACCTACATCAGAACCTAATTTTGATGATTTAGATAAGGCTTTTATCTAACACTACAATCTTAAAAACCTATTTTAAAACAATTCAAATAAGATTAAAATAAGTGACTGGCTTTTTTTCTTCCTTGTGGTAGTTTACTAATGTTTACTAAACAACTCCTATGCGTTTTGAACACATGAAAATAAAAGGACTCTAACTTTTCTTCTCTCTGCTACAAAGTGGCAAGCTGAGAAATAACTACTTTTAATTTTTGAAGTGTCTGCTGTATTTGTTTCTTCACTTGTATACTTCGCAAGCATCATTGCTTTTATCATTTAAACTGATACTTTAAATGGAAACATTGTAAAAAGCCTGGAATATAATGAATCTGTTCAGTATCACGCCTACGTGGGCTCAGCCTCATTTCCCACAGGGGTCTTGGGTTCTGGCTAATGGAGGAGGCAGCCTGTCCCAGCACCTGCTTCTAGGAAACCCAGGCAGGAAACC